TGGGGCACCCTTCGGGCACTAGGTGGCACGCACGCTTTTCCACGTGCAGCAAACGACGCGCTCGGCGATGTTTCCGCGTGGCCAATCAGCGCGCTGCTTCACGCTCACGAGCGTAAGCAGGATTCGTTGTTTCCTCCCGGGCGTCGTGGGCTGGCCGAATTCTCACGTCGAGAACTGCTGCCGCTTTTCCTCGGCAGCAGTTCTCGACGTGATCCACCTAATGTTTTCGCTTTCCGTAGGTCCATTGAAGCGTCAAATACAAAAATACAAGAAGCTTTAAGATTAAATCGGGATACGCTAATTCGGCCCTCCCCTTGAGATCGGTAAGCGACGTTTTCCGGTGTAGAGAAGCAGTAGCAGCGCCGCAGTATCACAATAAATGTGTATATATATATATATATATATATATATATATAGTGTGTGTGTGTGTGTGTGTGTGTGTAGGGTGGATCTTTAAATTCCTTGATATCGTAATCTGCTGAGAAACTCTTTTATTGCCGTTTCACGCTCCCTCTACTAACGAGCCACAACTCAATTTTCTTTTTCTTTTTGTTTCTGCGAACGCCACTCGCCCGCAACTCTCACTGCGCACGCTGCACTACTGCTTGGGCGCTAAACTTAAAAATGCCTTGCAATTCGGCGAGCCTAACTAATGTTCGCCCTCGAACATATAAAATATAAAGTATCTTAACAGTCTTGTCCAACAACATAGAATATTATTTTTTTTTTGTTTAATTGGATAACATCAAATAACATTCTCGAATTTTTTAGAATTAACGAAATGAACTTATTTTTAAGAAAATTTCACTTACAATAGACGAAATCACTTATAATAGACAAACTCATAAGTTTTTTCTAATTACAATTAACTATATATCTTATTATGAGCAATTGGATATATCCTTACTAAACTTAAAATTCTAGTTTTTCATAGTAGAGTCGCCGCATCTCTTTTCCATGATCGTATATTGCACGCTTGCCATACATTCTGTCAAATAAATACCGGGAATTTTTCAATAAAACACAAAATATTGGTTTAATTATCCAAATTTATTTTGACGCTTTCAAAATAGGCCCCATTTGATGCGATACACTTATGCCAACAAATAATCTAGTCGTCGAAACACTTCTTATAAGCACTTTTTAGTATGGTCTGCAGGTCCTTCTGCGAATTTTGTTTCATGGCTTCATTGGACTCAAAACGTTTTTCACAAAGTGGTAATTTGAGTTTGAAGAACAGGAAAAACCACATGATGCCATATCTAGCGAATAAGATGCTTGGTCAATGACATTCGTTAAGTTTTTGGTCAAAAATTCGCGTGCAAGTTTCGATATATGGGACGGCGCATTGTCGTGATGCACAATTCAAGAATTGAACTTCTACAAATCTGGCTTTTTCCAACGAACACTCTCTCAAACGCCTCATAATGCACAGATATTATTGTTAGTTGATTATTTGCCCCTCCGGAAGGATTTTCCATCATTATTTCCTTCACTTTGTTGATGTTTTTGTCAGTTGAAGATATTGAAGGTCGACCGGAAAGAGATAAGTCTTTAACTACTTCTCGGCCTTCTTTGAATGCGTTGTACCATTCGCATGTTTTCGATAAACCTGACTCACCGTATGCCTTCCATTACATTTTCAACGACTCAGCACAAGAAATTTCGTTGCGCAAACACTTATTTACTCTAAATGGTTTAAAGTTTTACTCTAAACTCTTTTAATTATGGAATTAACTTTTTCGAGACCGCTACTTTACTATCGAAATTCTTTACATTTATTTAATTCCCTTCTTCATCCTGACACGTAGGATTTTTCTTTTGGTTAACATACGTTTCGTTATACTTTTGAGGTGTCTCGACAATCGTTGATCGGCAATCTTATTTCTAGTTACGTCTGATATTCATTCGTTATCAAATACATAATTTTGTAAATAGATTGAAATCGCATCCTTAATTCTACTTCTCTGTTTTATGTCAAATAAGATCTGGCTTAACATTTCTCCTGTACTTTTATTTAAGGTGTTATTCAGTCCATACTCTATATTTCCTAACACTTTATACCAATATTTTCCCGTGTCGTTGTCCACAATTTTAACTAGCATTGGAGCGATAATTTTATATAACCTTTCTGCTTTGCCGCTTGCTTGCGGCGAGTCGGTAGTTATTAATATATATTGAATATCGTTTGCTCAGTAAAATCACGAAAATCTTGTGATGTAAAAGATGTCAGAGATGATTATCTTTGGACGACTATAACTAGAAAAATAACTTTCTAAATATTATATGACTTCAGTATGAGAGTAGTGAGAGGTTTGATGGTTGGCACTATTGGAAATTCACAGCGCATTGGAGATGGCAACACCATGTGTCATTCTAAAGACTTGCCAATCAATTTGGTATATCGGACCTCATAATATCTAAAATAACTAGTCTCGAGTTATTTATTCCTTTAAACTTATTTGCGTAATGAGATGCGTCTGTAACCTCGTAATTTTCTACATATTTTTTTTTAATGATTCTAATTGTATTTCCAGTATCTATTAAAGTATTTGAAATTGGAATATCATCACTTATCTGGAATGTAACATCCTGCCTAATATCTTCATTCTTCGTAGATTGCTTGATACTGTGAGCCTCCTTCTAGTTGTCTTTCTTGTCGTCTTTCCTGGTTATCTTTCTAAGACACTGCATTACCTAATAACCTATTGCACCGCATTCGAAGCAGAATCCTCGTTCACGTAAAGGCTTCTTGCATTCTTTCAACAAATGTCCCGATTTACTGCAATTGAAACAGCGGATGCTTCCACAAATATTGCCATTTCCATGATCATCCTTGGATCGAGATGTTTTGGTTTCTCCTCCATTTTCTTCGATTTTTTAGCGAAACTTTTGGAATCCGAACGTGGAGAGGAAATGAATGGAAATCTTGCATTCTCACGTGATCCAGTAGTTGCTAGTCCGGAATGCCTTCTATTATGTAGTCCATTGGTTCATCTTCCTGTATTGGGGCTTCGTTAACTTTTTAACTATTTTGTCATGATAATACTCGTTTAAACCTTCTGTAGCTTTCCATAATCTGCCTCAAATTGTTTGCGTAGCTCTAATTTTTCGAGTCGAGAGTTATACGTCTTTTTCAAATCTACTCAACAGTTCTTAACACTATACCGTCCGCATGTCTAATCGGGATTCTTTTGTTTGGCGCCGGTAGAACTGACTCAGATCATTTCGTTTGTCGCCGGCGGTTTTTCGAAGTTTTCAGGAGATCATAAATCTTCAGTTCTCATTAGTTTTTAATCGTGTCCCGCTATTTTCATGCAATTTCGAGAATATATGTAAATAAATGTAACATTTTTTTGTATGATATATTTATTTATTTGTTAATATTTTATTGGGCACTTAGTATTTCTCTTTTAGATGATATGAAACAAAACAATCTCTGAGGTGTAACGCGGCTCCACAAGACTTACATATTAAATTTCTCGTCCTTCTTTTTTTGTTTTTGGAACATACATGGCACTTTCTTCGTTTTCGTTTGTCGATTTCGGAAATTTGTGTTAGCTGGTGTTGCTTTAGCTGACCGGAAAGTCTGTCGATCGAATTATATTGTCTGCAACTTATTGTTACTTAAATAGAATACAAACAGAACACCAACAGTACACTATCAGAACACAAATGGCACCACAGTGCTGTCACCGGCCTTTGCATAATAATTTTGCGCACAACACCAACGTGGTGTCGCCGGCCTTTGCGCGATAGTTTTCGCGGTACACCAACGTGGTGTCCCCGGACGGCATAATGTTAATTGGTATTCGTTATAGTGTCTGGTGTAACTGTTGCGAACGTTCAGATAGGGTGGAGGAGCGAGCGCCGAGTCAGTTACCGAAAATCGGTGGAGAGTTGATGCGTGGGACAGTCACGCGCTGTACGTCACGTAGGGGAACCGTCCGGGTCGACGTCGCTCTTGTCGTTGATGCGAGGGCACAAGCGCGCTATGCGGAGTGGCGCACGCGAAAGGCCTACCACTTCGCACACGGTCGCTATGCCTATACAAAGGCTCTATGCGCGAGATGAAACGGTTCGCCAACGCGCGAAGGACGCGAGATGCCCCTTATAAGGCGGCTCGTCGCCGGGTTCCCCCGCCCGTCCGAGCGGAGTAAAGCTACGCTCCTGATGACCCCTTCATGACCTACCCCTGTAGGTCACTCTGAAAGCCTTTCCGGACCTTCTGATGCACGCACTGCGTCGTAGGGAGGTTTTCCTTGCTCCGAACGCAGAGTCCTTCGTTAGACCTAAAGTGCGCTTCAGATGCTGCCAGCGACTCACCTGACCGGCGGTATGCGGTGCCTGAGGCAAGGCGTAGAGGTCTTTGCACCACCCACCTTGCCGTCGGCGTAGGTGTTCTTAGGGTAGGTGCCAGACGTCCGTCTGCTTCCCAATCATGTATAAAAAAAACGAAATTCGTAGTTCCCGAGATACCCAGGACGTAACAGATCCATCAATTCGGAAAACCAATATTCCTGCAGTATGTAAGGGGGTTGAATAATATTGCAGGAAATAGTGCAATAATTTAGCATGAATGAATGTACCGACTTACCATGCCTTTTTAGCAACGATCTTTACATCAGAAAACTACGAAATAAATAAATAATTTGTTTTTCGCAATAGCTCAACCATAAACTATTCTAAAATAGCAGTGTTTTGTCCGATGTTTCCTTCGGCCTTCCACAGAGGATAGAAACTTACAGAATTTAATTCGTACTAATCACAGTTAAGATATAAAGGTGACCAATATTATCCACTGAACAATATTACCCTATTCTTCTTTATATAATGAAATCAATCGTATCAGTCATCCATTTTGCTATCTTGTAAAAGAACAGAGGCTGTTGGCAAATATAAGAGAATATTAAATATTTTTTCCAAAAAGAAAATCTTTGCTATTTTGCTATACGGAATGAAATATTTAAAATGAAAATATGTAAAATGTTTCTAAATAGGTATTGGATATGCAGTCGTCTTAATTGCGTTTTACGTCGATTTTTACTACAACGTTATCATCGCTTGGTCACTGCGTTATTTCTTCGCCTCGTTCTCCGGATTGTTACCCTGGACTACCTGCGATAACCCTTGGAACACGCCGCTATGCCGCGAATTCGATGAAAATATTACATATGCGATGGAAGATTCGATAGCCGGCGAATTGAATATGAATCTTGGAAATATCACACAATTTCTGGCAGATCAAGGATCGGATGTGATTGTTGCTAGTCAGAATGTAGCAGATAACCGTACAGCATACACGAGCGCTGCTCATGAATATTTTAAGTGAGCGACACTTCAAAAATCATATATATTTGTTGACAAAATATAATATTACACATCAATAACTTAATTTAAATTGAGAAATTTTATTAAAATTTAGTAATTTTTATCATAATTATATTTTTAATCTTCTTTGTATTAGCATGTGTATAGTAGATTATAAGTTCTTAAAACCAATCAGGTCGGTAATCAAAATGCAAATGGTTGAAATACCAATATTAACTGATTCCAATTATTTCAATGGAATAATAGCATGTTTAAATAATATACAGGTATCCAAATGTATGCCGCAAAGAACTTGAATTAAAAAAATATATCAAATGAGTATTCACATATTTTGGAATTGATATTAAGTAGAATTTTTGTAATAGAAATTGTTTTCAAGATATCATGAACATTAAGAAATTTTTTCCCTTAAGTCGTGCTATTTTGGAGCTACATGAAAGCGATGGCTTACACGACCTCGGAGCTATTAAGTGGGACATCGCGCTATGCTTACTCGTGGTCTACCTAGTTTGCTATTTTTCTCTGTGGAAAGGCATCTCGACTTCTGGCAAGGTAAGCTGAATATTTCACTAAAGATTTGAGATCCTAAAGATAAGCGGCCGATTTCCATAAGGTATTTTTGATTTCCTGCAAACACTTAAAATCCATGATAAAGCGCTGCATATCTGTATAGTTTTATAGAAAAATATTACTAGTTGATCAATAATCAGTTATTGTTGCGCAGTATTTTTATTAGTAATAACTAACAATTTTGAGTATTTAAATAATATGATCATTAATACTTTTTAATTTAGCAATGCTTCATGTTAAATGATTAGTACTAACAGTAATTATTACTGGAATTTATGATTCCACAATATTTACTGTATTAGGTGCTTGCAAATGTTCGTATGATATTAAAGCCATTCACATTTATTAATAACAATGATATGATGTAAAATATTTAAATTAAAGTTTCTTTTTTAATTAATTATAATACCACAACTAAGTGTTACACTCATCTAGCGGTTATCATTTCGATAGTGTTACTGTGTAAATGAATATACTCCATCAAGCAGTTCCAGAATTGAATTAGTTAATTCAACGTCATCTAATATTCTCCCTATACCAAGTCCAAATGAGATTCAGCAATAGTATAACAAGAGCTTATTATGAGTATTTAGTTTTGAGCTTCATCCAAACAACAACTAATACATTTTCATATACTTAAGGTTTAACTCTTCTTTTTTTCTTTTTAATATGCGCCTTCCATCTCAGTTTGACAACGAGTGTCATGCCTAAGTATTTAGCTTCATTAGCACATGTAACATCTTGCTGATTAATTTAAACAGGGTTATTTACATTCCTTTTGTTTGTAAAGTGTGTTTCAGTTGACTTTGTCCTGTTTAGTTGGACTCTCCATTTTTTGTCCATACACTGACTTTATTTACAGTCCGTTGCAGTTTATCTGTTGTCCCCTTAATGATATTCACAACTGCCATAATTGCGGTATCGTCCGCAAAGATAACTATAGTTATATATTTTTTTTTCATCGTGTGTTATATCCCTTATATACAGCAGGTATAGCGTCGATCCAAGGACACTACCCTGCGGAATTACAGCAGAGATCTTCCTAAATTCCGAATACTCATTTACATGTTTTATTCGGAAGATTCTATTAGATATGTAGAATTCAAGGATTTCGCAGAACTGCCTGGGGGGAACATTCTGCAGTTTATGCATCAGGCCTCTATAGCATACCTTGTCGAATGACTGAGAGACATCCAAGAATACACTCGTGCAAACTTTTTTACTTTCCAGCGCTTCTTTAATTATATTGGTTATTCGGTGAACTTGGTCGATGATAGAGTACTTATTTCTAAAGCCAAAATAGTGGTTCTGTATTAAGCTTCTTTCTTCTAATATTGGATTTAAGCGTTTTAATAGTTTTAATAATAGTCTTTCAAATACCTTCGACACGATAGGTAATAAAGAAATAGGCCTATATGAATTTTTGATATGAATCACTTGCATTTTTGCTAGCCTTATGGATCATTTTAATTTCAGCCCTTCTATTGTCTCGGCACGTATTTCAACCTAAAAGTCGCGTTTATGAGATATAAAAATTTTTCAGTTGCCTTGTCAGATAATTCCTTAAGAACCTGTCCTGTAATCAGATCGTATCGCAAAGTCTTTCTCTCGTTCAAGTTATGCACAACTTGTGTGAGTTCTCTTGTCGAGGCCAGACGAATTTCAGTATTTTTTATTATATGGTTTCTTTGCAAATTTTCATTCGCTGTCTGTCTAGGAAATGGTTTAAATGTTTTTCTCAAGTGTTCGACGAAAATCTCTGCTTTTTCTTTATCACTTCTGGTTAAATAATTATCGTTTTTGCGAATGGGTATTTCTTGGACTTTGGGTCTCTTGAGTCCTCTCGTGACATTCCAGAGAGAATAATTTGTATCTTTGTCCGCTGTTAGTTCATCCAGGAACCGGCTACGTGTTTGTCAATCAGTCGTTGTTATAAAAAAACTTTTGCTAACTTTCGGGCAATAGTTTGATTTTGCTCCGATTAAACAACTCATCTTTTGAGGTAATCCATTTATCGGCAAATTTTTCTTCAGCATTTCGGAACCCTGTATTATCGTATAGACCATACTGCATCGATATGAATAGATAAAAATCAGATGGGACGAAAGTACGCTGGTTGCGACAAGACTTCTTAATCTTACTCGAATAATATTTCTTTAGTCGTAACAATAACATGCAATTTGGCGTTGTCATGAAGCATTGTCATGAAGCAAATAACTTTGCGTCAAGTCGCAACTATTTAAAGACGTTTTTCTTCATGGCTTGGTTCAAATGTCATTGTTGACTGTAGCTATTTTCTGTGATTATTTGCCCCAGTGGTAATAACTCATAGTAAAATCCTTTTAGTTCCAAAATACACAGAAAAACGGTATGGTTATGGATGTCGATGGGTGGCCGATAATAACTCATAACGTTTGACGTTTAAGATTATCAAAATAGATTCATTTTCCATCACTCGTAACTATTTCCTACAAAAATGTTTTTTGTGTCCGGCAAGCAATGAGAGACAGTCGACTCGTAATCGCAATTGCAAAGAGTTCATGGAGAAACTATCTTTTTTTCCTTTTGGATCTTTTCCATTGTTTTTAAATAGTGGGATACTGTTTTATCAACTCCAAGATGCTCTGCAAGCTCTTTTAATGTTTGAGCCGAGTTTTCGTTGCTTATAATTCGTTATTCTCCATCTTATTTAAACATTTGGTTCAGAATGTGGCACATCCTTAATACTGTAATCATTATTTGTAAACCACTTCTCGCTAATTTCTTGCTAAATCACATTTCGCAGATAGAAATGGACGTTATGTTCTCTCCATAGATCCCATAAATCAGTCTTTTAGCTATTACAGCAGTTTCATCACGATCAAAATGGTAAAGCCTGTAATGGCGAAGATGAACATTTCTGGTTCCATTTTCACTCACGATAAATGTAACGTTTTGTTTGAAACATTGGATTGTAAACCATCAATTCTGATTCAGTGTAGCCATTAAAAACTAAAAAATAATTTAAAGGAAAACTGTTTATTGGTGCAATCATCTCTTTCTGACCTTTTATAGGTACTTTTTATAAGTACCTGTAAAATTATATAATATTACGTTGTCCGGAAAGTCTGTGCAGATTTTTCAGTTAATGGCGTTGAAGTATAAATTTTAGAAGGTTAGATTAATACAATGTGTCAAATGCGTATATGCTTTGATAAATGACGTTTCAATGCATATTTTATGATATTAGGTAAATCGGAGAGTTCCGTTCATCTAGCGGCGAGTTGCTATGGCTAGAACTGTTGGTAACTAGTGTTTAAACTAAGCTTTATTTTTTAGTTTTATTATCTGTCAATAAAATTCTTTATATAAAGTTACACGTTCACATCAATAATATTGTTTTTTATTACATCGAAAATGTCGAAATTTGAGCCAAATAAGCGTCATTTGCGCAAAGTGTTAATCTTTTGCTTCAAATGAAAAAAAAAACTGCAGCTGAAGCTTATCGAATGATTATAGAAGTTTACAATGATAATGCTCCTTTCGATAAAACATGCAGAGAAGGGTTTCGAAGTTTTAAAAATGGTGATTTTGATGTAGAGAGCAAATAGCGTTCTGGACGGCCATGAGCATTCGAAGATGAAGAATTGCAGACATTGGTGGAGGAAGACTCATGTTAAACGCAAAAACAACTTACAAAAGCATTAAACTAAGTTCAATCTGTCATTTCCGATTGTTTGAAAGCCTTGGAAAAGGTCTACAAGGAAAAAAATGAATCCCATATGAACTGAAAGAAAGAGACATTAAAAGACGAAAAACCACCTCCAAAATGCTACTTGCTAGGAAAAAAAGAAAGGAGTTATTGCATTGAATTGGGATTGGCGGTGAAAAGTGGATCTATTTCGATAACTCCAAACGCCGAGAAACCATTTGCGATCCAGGCCAACCATCGACATCGATGCCACAAAGCAATATTCATGGGAAGAAGGCCATGCTCTATATTTGGTAGGGCCAGAAGGATGTGGTATATTATGAAATACTGAAATCTGGCCAAATAGTTACTAAGGATCTCTACCAACAACAAATTATCCGCTTGAACCGAACGTTGCACAAGAAACGACCAGAATATGAAACGAGATAGCATAAAGTGATTTTGCTTCATGACAACGCTAGGTCTCAAGTCACAAAACTTGTCAAGGAAACGTTAGAAGCACTTTGCTGGGAAGTGCTACCCCTTGCGGCTTATTCAGCAGACAGTGTTCTTCCCGACTATCTCTTGTTTCGGTCGATGGCACAAACACTTGCTGAGGAACGCTTTAATTTTTATGAAGATGTCGAAAAACGGGTCTCTGGTTAGCCTCCAAGATGAGTCATTCTTTTGCCACGGAATTCGCTTGCTGCCCAAAAGATGGGAAAAAATCATCGCTAGCGATGGATAATATTTTGATTGATGTACTTTTACATTTTGTTTTTTAAAATAAAACCATATTTTTTGCGAAGAAACGGACGGAAGTTTCCGATTTGCCTAATAATAGTTGTTGATCAATGAAAGATATATCTCTAATGAAGTGAAGTGCTTCTAACGTTTCCTTGATCAAATAAAGATATATCATATTGAAAAGGGAAAAAAGTAACATATTTTTCCGGTGCATAATACTTTTTTATGTAAGGTAAAATCACGACGCAAATTCGAAACAAGATATGTACTCTGTATGGAGAGGATGCTGTAAGCGAACGTATATGTCAAAAATAATTTGCCAAATTTTATTCAGGAGAAATGAATATCGAAGAAGCTTTTCGCACTGGTCGACCAGTTATCATGGATCACTAAACAACGGTTGACCAAATAACTTTAATTGCTTCTGATCAGCAAATAACATCTCGGGAAATCGCCTCGAAGTTAAAAATCAACTGTTTCTGAACATATAAGCAAACTTGGAATGGTAAGGAAGTTCTTTGTTTGGGTATTGACAATTTGACTGAAAAATATCTCATCGATCGCA